GTTAAAAATTATAATTGGAATCAAATCGAGAGCGGTGATGACCTGTTCTATTTTTTTATGGGTTATGAAAACGGGGAAGCGAGAAAAATTTCGGCGCAGGAGTTTCAGGAAAACATCGAAGCGGATTTTCAAAATGCCTGAAACTCTGCAAAACATTATATTATTTAACTGAAATTCAATAGAATCTCGAGGTGTTCATCGTTCAATTCAAAGAATGACAATTTTAGTTTTAGTGCTATATTAAAGAGAATTTATGAAATACGAAGCAGTTAAAAATTATTACGACGGCAATTTTTACGAAAGCGGTTTGACGGAAAGTTTGGACGTTGTTTCGCCGATTGACGGAAATTTGCTTTCAAAAGTTCCGATGTCGAGCGTTGAAGAATTGAACAAAGCGGTCGAATCGGCAAAAAATGCGTTTCCGAAATGGTCGAATACGCCGATCAAAGAACGCGTTCAGGTCTTTTTCAAATATCGTTATTTATTGGAAAAAAACTTTGACGAATTGACCGCGCTCGTGTCGGAAGAAAACGGCAAGACTTGGGACGAAGCGAAAGCGGAAGTCGAAAAATCAATTGAATTAACCGAGTTTGCCTGTTCGATGCCGCAATTGGTTTCGGGCGAAGTTTTGGAAGTTTCAAAAGGTGTTGAGTGTAGAACGGAACATTTTCCGCTCGGCGTGGTCGCTTCGATCGTGCCGTTTAATTTTCCGCTGATGGTACCGAATTGGACAATGCCGAATGCGCTTGTTTTGGGTAACACGATGATTATGAAGCCTTCCGAACTTGTTCCGCTCTCGTGTCTGCGAATGGCTGAACTTTTAAAGGAAGCGGGATTGCCCGACGGCGTTTTTAACATCATCAACGGAGGTCGCGAAATCGTCGAAGCGATCTGCGCTCATTCCGATATTGAAGCAGTGAGTTTTGTCGGTTCGACTAAAGTTGCGAAATTGGTTTATCAGCAAGCGACGCATAATTTGAAACGCTGTATCGCGCTCGGCGGCGCGAAAAATCACCTTTTCGTTTTGCCCGACGCAAATCCGCAGATGACGGCGACGAATGTTACTGCGTCAATGTCGGGCTGTGCAGGTCAAAGATGTATGGCGGCTTCGGCGATGCTCGCGGTCGGAAATGTCGATTCGATCATTGACCAAATTTGCGTCGAAGCGAAAAAGGTCGTCGCGGGCAAAAATCTCGGTGCGGTGATTTCAAAAGCGGCGAAGGAACGGATTGAAAATTACATCACGGAAGCTGAAAAAGA